GGGAGAAGGACGAGGCGGAGGAAGAGGGAGAGAAAGCGCTCCTCGTGGTTTGAGTCGTTTGGGGTTTCTCGTCCTGGTGTGAGTCGTTCGGGCCCTTCTTCCTGGTGTGAGTCGTTCGGGCTCTTCGTGGTGTGAGTCGTTCGGGCTCTTCGTCCTGGTGTGAGTCGTTCGGGCTTCTCGTGGTGTGAGTTGTTCGGGCCCCTCATCCTGGTGTGAGTCGTTCGGGCCCCTCCTCCTGGTGTGACTCGTTCGGGCTCCTCGTGGTGTGAGTCGTTCGGGGCCCGCGTCGTGGTGTGAGTCGTTCGGGCTCCTCGTGGTGTGAGTCGTTCGGGCGCCTCGTCCTGGTGTGAGTCGTTCGGGCCCCTCCTTGTGGTGTGAGTCGTTCGGGCTCTTCGTGGTGTGAGTCGTTCGGGCCCCTCGTCCTGGTGTGAGTCGTTCGGGCTCCTCGTGGGGCCTCTTGGGGGCCTCTTGGAGCCTCTTGGGGCCTATGGGTGGCCTCTTGAGGGGGCCTCTTGGGGGCCTTCTTGGGCCTTCTTTGGGCCTCTTGGGGCCTCTTGGGGGCCTCTTGGGGGCCTCTTGGGGGCCTCTTGGGGCCTCTTGGGGGCCTCTTGGGGGCCTCTTGGAGGCCTCGTGGGAGCCTCCTGGGGGCCTCTTGGGGCCATCTTGGGGCCTCTTGCGACCTCCTCAGAAGCGCAAATGAACAGAGAGAGCTCGCTAAACCACTCACGCCCGAAGGGCTGGTGGGATTCCCACCGGCCCATCCAGAGACAGGTCGCCAGGTGACTTGCGTCGATCAGGGAAGTGTAGAAGCATGCGGTGCGACAGCCGCCTTGGAAGCGTTTTCTCGCGGGTGTCTGGGGGGAGGCGCGAGTTGTCAGGGCGTCCTGTTTAGTCCCAGATGGCTCCAAGAGGGCAGCCGCGAGCGCAAGATGGCCTCCATGATGGGTCAAGATGGCTCGAGATGGCCTCCGACGCGCATCCAAGATACTTCAAGACGGCTCCAAGACGGTTTCAAGTGCCCTCCGAGCCCTCCAAGGACCCCCCTGGGAGGCCAAAGTGGCTCCAAAACTTGAACACAACGCATGTTGGTGATCTTCTCGCTTTTTCACTTCCGATAGGCTTTTGAGGCCTCAAGATGGCTCCAAAACGGTCCAACAGAGACTCAAGAGAGGCCCAACAGCGCCCCGAAAAGGCACCAAGAGCGCCCAAGAGCGCTCCAGGAACGGCCCAAAAGGGCCCCAAGACGGCACGCTTGAGCCTCCAAGGAGGGAGCCCGAATTGAGACCCCCCCTTTTCGAATAATGAGTTTCAAGACGGGCCCAAGACAAAGCCCCAAGAGTGCCCCAGGAATGCCCCGAGAGGCTCCGCGAGGACCCCTAGAGAGCCCCGAGATGGCTCTCTCTTCCAAGCCCAGTGGACGGGGTAGTGGGAGGGGTAAGCCCCCCCCCCCCCCCCCCCCCCCCCACGAGCAAGGGTGTTGTGTTACTTAGAGAAGAGAAGTGATTGGTTCAACCACTGCGCCGTAGGGCCTCTTGCAAATTGTAAGCACGAATGTGCGCGGGTTTAAGGCGCGAGCCACATGGAAAAAACCACCCACCTTCATTCCGTGAGGGACTGCTACACCCATCCGAGATCAGGACTCATTAAATTGGTGAGGAGTAGTCCCAGGCGGAAACTCTGTCCGCTTTTGTCGACTGGTCGGGGTGCGACAGGGAGGAGTTAATTCCTGGGGAAGAGAGATGGTGGAGGTGGAGGAAGAGGAGGAGGGAGGAGGAGGAAAGATGAGGAATATAGGATTGAGGGGGAGGAGGAGGAGGAGGGGGTAGGAGGAGGAGGAGGAGTAGGAGGAGGAGGAGGAGGAGGGAGGAGGAGGAGGAGGAGGAGGAGGTGGAGGGAGGAGGTGAACTACTGCGCAGAACATGTGCTCGCAGACGCGTATTCGCCATGGAGCCTCGCCGGAAACATGGACTCCAGATTCATGCATTGCTCCCCCTGGGCTATTCGCCCTTCTCGTCGCCTCCGAGGTCCAAGTTGTCCGCGCGGGCCTCAGAAAGCTCATGCTCATGACGCCTTCCCTTCTTCTAGAGGGGGGCCCGTGCGCGGAGTCGTCCGCCGACGACTCGGAGGGCGTGTCGGCGCAGCAGCGCGCCGCGGTGGTGGCGCCCCTCCATCGACAAGGAAACAGCTGCATACGCATTACAGTCAAGACGCCGGGTTTGGTTTTGTGGCCGTTCCCCATGTTTAGTATGGAACCTGTTCGCGGCCGAGGCCCGGGGCTGCCAGAAAAGCCCCTTCGTTCCTTCGTCAGCGTTCCGCATGGCAGCACGATTGCTGTAACTTTCGGAGGTCCGCGCGGATTTTCTTGGGTCGGCGTTGGACCCCCCCTGACTGCACCTCGGGAGCCCCTCCCAGCGCGCTCCGCTCGCTTGATAGGGTCTCCAGCGCCAATCCGAAAAAGCCTCGCGGACCTCCAAAAGTATGTGCTTATGTCGTTTTTGGCATCCTCTAGAGAGGATGCCTAGAGAGGCAGTGTGGAGGCTCAGAGCGGCCAAGAGAGGCCCAGAGAAGCTCGAAGAGGCTTCGAGAAGCCCCGATGGGGCCTCGGCACGAGAAGAGCGAGGCTGCCCTGGCCAGGACTGGCAGCAGCCAGACCAGGATATCCTCGAGATGCAGCGCTGCTCGGGGCAGGACTCCCCTGGAGAAGGGCGGGTATCGAGGATGTGGGGAACTCGTTTTGAATGACACGCGGGCGAGTAAGAACGAACAGTCCGATACTGATTGTTGTTGTTGTTGTTGTTGTCGTTGTCGTTGTCGTTGTTGTTGTTGTTGTTGTTGTTGTTGTTGTTGTTGTTGTTGTTGTGTTTGTTGTTGTTGCTGTTGTTGTTGTTGTTGCTGCTGCTGCTGCTGCTGTTGTTGTGGTTGTTGTTGTTGTTGTTGTTGTTGTTGTTGTTGTTGTTGTTGTTGTTGTTGCTGCTGCTGCTGTTGTTGTTGTTGTTGCTGCTGTTGTTGTTGGTGTTGTTGTTGTTGTTGCTGTTGTTGTTGTTGTTGCTGTTGTTGTTGTGGTCGTTGGTGTTGTTGTTGCTGTTGTTGCTGCTGCTGTTGTTGTTGGTGTTGTTGTTGCTGTTGTTGTCGTTGTTGTTGTCGTTGTTGTTGTTGGTGCTGGTGTTGTTGTTGTCGTTGCTGTTGTTGTTGTCAATGTTGCTGTTGCTGTTGTTGTTGCTGTTGTTGTTAGTGTTGTTGTTGTTGTTGTTGTTGTTGTTGGTTGTTGGTGTGGTTGTTGTTGTGTTGTTGCTGCTGCTGTTGTTGCTGCTGCTGCGGTTGTTGTTGTTGTGGTTGTTGTTGTTGTTGTTGGTGTTGGTGTTGTTGTGGTTGTTGTTGTTGTGTTGTAGCTGCTGCTGTTGTTGCTGCTGCTGCGGTTGTTGTTGTTGTTGTTATTGTTGTTGTTGTTGGTGTGGTTGTTGTTGTTGTGGTTGTTGTTGTGCTGTGGCTGCTGCTGGTGTTGCTGCTGCTGCGGTTGTTGTTGTTGTTGTGGTTGTTGTTGTGATTGTTGTGGTTGTTGTTGTGGTTGTGGTTGTTGTGGTTGTTGTTGTTGTTGTTGTTGTTGTGGTTGTGGTTGTTGTGGTTGTTGTTATTGTTGTTGTTGTCGTCGTCGTCGTCGTCGTCGTTGTTGTTGTTTCCCAATGGCATCAGCATTGTGTTGCTGATGTTGATGTTTTGTTGTAGCTGCTGCTGCTGCTGTTAGTTGCTGAGCTGTTGAAACATTATTCAATTCTAAAGCAAAATTATTGTTGGGAAAAATTATTGTTGGGAACCCAGTTGCACGGCCCCCGCCCGCGTAGGCGCTCAACAATTTTCATCATTTTTTATCGCCCGCAATCAACCTAAACGTTTAAATGGGCTCCAGAAATCCGGTTGTTTTGTTGATAATCCTTTTCTCCATTGCCATAAAACACTATAAAATGACCAATTTTCAAGTTCTCCAAAATTTCAAATATCAAGAATCCCCTGCACAAAAACAATATGGTTCACGATGACATTTACGCCGTCGCGCAAGACGAAATCCTTCCAAAAGCTTAGTGTTCGGAGCGATTTTAACATAAAACATCAAAAAACCAATGGTTTTTCAACAAAAAAATGTCAAAATCTCATCCCGCGCGCTCTTGCGGATTCGTAGGAAAACCCAACACTTTTTAAACATTTCTGTCAAACGGGCTTTTGCGAGCAACTTTTTCGAACTTCTGCGACAACGGTTGCGCACCTGCAGGGCCATCATCCCTGTCAAATAATACCATGCGGGACACATTCGTTTTTTCTTCGCGCGCGCACGCCGTCGTCGTCGGCCGCGGGGCCCTGAATAGTAGCCACGGTCGTCCGCATGCCACGAAGTGAAGTGTCCTAACGTCATAGGGCGGGAAGCTGGGTGTGGGTGGTGGCGAAGAGTCGTTTGGAAATGTGGTAGAGCTTGCCATGCCCCCCCTAAATGCTTCGTCAAGGGCTAGTCTGCTCAGAAAACATTGCATGGCGCTAACACTGAGCGTTCGGGTAAAGTGATTGTTGTTGTTGTTGTTGTTGTTGTTGTTGTTGTTGTTGTTGTTGTTGTTGTTGTTGTTGTTGTTGTTGTTGTTGTTGTTATTATTGTTGTTGTTTATGTGTGTGTGTGGTGTGTCTGTGTGTCTGTGTGTCTGTCTGTGTGGTGGGCATCCCGTCCTGTCGGGACGCGGCGGGGCCACCGCGGGCACGGCGGCACGCCGCACGGCGCCTGCGGCGCGGCGCCCTGGTGGCCCTCGGGGCTCTGGCCGCGTCTGGCGCCGCGGCCCTCGCCCGGCCGCGGTCCGCGGCCGGCCTCCCGGCGAGGGGCGCGCCGGGCGCCGCGGGGGCGGCGTCGGCCAGCGCGGCGGGCGGCGACCGAGGAGGGGAGCACGACCTCTGAGGGGCCAGGTGTCCACCGCCACTGTCGCGTGCAGGGCGGGGGGGGGAAGGGAGGATAGGGGAGGCCCTCCTCCTCCTCCTCCGCCTCCTGCTCCTCCTCCTCTTCCTCCTCCTCCGCCTCCGCCTCTTCCTCCTCCGCCCCCGCCTCTTCCTCCTTCTCCTCCTTTTCCTCCTCCTCCTCCTCCTCCTCCTCCTCCTCCTCCCTTTCCTCCTCCCACAGCTGCCTATGGCAGCGGTGGTGGACAATCGGCCCATCAGAGAAGCACGATGGGGCGGTTGCAAATCATGGGAGCCTTTGCGCCTTCTTAAGTCTGTGTTTAGAGTGCATTCGCGTCGACTTAGCGTCTGGTAATCGATGATGCAGCGCCTATTTAGCGTCGATGAGCGTCGATTGGCGTCGATTTAGCGTCGACTAGCGTCGACTAGCGTCGATTCGCAAGAGCCAACAAGCTCGTATGGGAGGCTCCCATGAGTTGCCACCGAACGATGGCCATGACCGAGTTGCCGCGAGATCTTGTCGATGCCGACCTTGGTCTTGGTCCATGCCAGCCGTCGCCGTTGCGCGAGCATGATCCACGACTTGGCGAGGGCCACCATGGGCGGTGTCCGAGATCGGTACCGGCGTTTCCGCGTTCAGTCTTGGCCAGGGTCATCGCCTTCTCCTCCTTCCAGGCGAGGGCAGGGGCTGCAGCAATTGGAGAGACATCCGGCGGCCTCCGGCCCATTCCGTCGCCGTGGGGCTCCGAGTCGGGGGCGCGGCGCGGGGCGATCGGAGGCCACGCTGCGCGTTGTCAGCCGTGCTCCTGGGGGGGCGCCCTTCCCCCCCCCCAGCGGGGGGGCTCCTTCGAGCGCAGCCAGTGGCGCTGTGGGTTTCCGGGAGGTGTGCTTCCAGGAGCCTCTTCGGGGATCTGCGGCTCAGCAACGCCACGAGGGCACTCCACTGCAGGCCCCAGAGGCGCGGTGGCGGATCAAGCTGCTGGAGTTCGCGGACGTCGATCTGGACACCTGCGAGGCTAAGTGCAACGCCACCGCGAGTTGTTACCACTACAACTACCACCCTGACGCGTGCAAGCATTCCGCGGATGCACCGAGGACGTGCTTCCTGTTCGCCAAGGTTCATTCGGGCCCGTCCCTCTACAGGAGGAAAATTCAAATATAGTCCATCAAATAGTCTGGGAACGAATTCTCGACTATTTTTGATCATCCTTTGGGGGGCTTTGTTTCACTATGTTTCATTTTCCGTCCAGAATCCGCCTGTAGGAGGACATGCCCGACCCACCGCAAGGGCTGCGTCCTGGAGGAGGATCCCTGCTGGAATCTGTACGAGAGCCCCACCGTGCCAGCGTGGCGGCTGCGGGGGAACGCCACGGGCTGCGGCAACTGGGCGCGAGCGGGCGTCGGGGAGGTTCGGCATCGGGTGACCGATGCCCATCCCCAGCCCCATCCACATCTCGAGCCCCACCATCTCACCACCCCAGCTGGGGAGATCCCCCTCGAAACGCGAAGAGAGCAGCCCGTATCCCCATCTAGGGGGGCAAAGCGGCCAGTGGGGCCCAGCCCACGCCGGTGGGGGTGGGGATCGGTCAAGCGATGCTCGGAGGTCCAGACTGCCATGAACCGGGGCCACTGCGGCGTGAAGTGCTCGCAGCACCCCCAGTGCAGGCTGTTCAACTTCCAGCCGCGCGACTGTCACGAGGACGTGGCCGAGAACGTCCCCCCGGCCGGGGCTGGGGCGTGCTGGCTCTACACCAGCGACCCGCCTTGCAGGGAGGGTCGCAATGCGTGCTGGGATCTGTATGAGATGTCGTCGGAGGGGTCCCTGGGCAACTCCACCTGGAGCCTGCTGCCAGCAGCCAGAGGCAGCGACATCCGGCTGTCGCTGCCGCGCGAAGCCGCCGCCGCGACTGGGCGGGGGGGGGAGGGCGGCGGGGGAGCGCCAGGGGTCGGGAGTGGGGTGCGCAGGTTTCAGGGATCGTTTCGCCCGAACTTGTGATTGCATTCTCTCGTTCAGGAGCGAAGGAAGGACGTGCACGTACATGAATCCACGTTGGTTTTAGTAGATGCGCACTGCGCAAACGTTCGTACCATGCGGCTGGTCTCGCGGATGCAGGGGCCGTGTTCATGTACGTGGTTTGGCGCGTACGTTCTTTCTGGGTCCCCTAGCTTACTTCGGGTGGAAGGAACATCGCAGGGACTTGGTCCGAAAGTAATCAGATGTCGTCTGCGGTCCTGATCATCGCTGCTCTGCAATAAGTGAAGCGAGCCAAACACATCCTGGCGGCAGAAGAGTCAAGCGTATAGCGTGCATTGTATTGCAATCTACGCACGGGAGACAACACCAGAGAGCATTTGGGATAACATAAGGGATAGCATACGGGATATCATCCCAGAGATCATGCGGAAGAGCGCACTTTGTGCCATACATGAGACCATGCGGCAAACCATACGCGAGATCATAGGAAGACCACCCGGGAGATCCCAGTGGAGATCATGCGGGATGTCACATGGCAGATCACACTGGAGGCCACACGGGACGCCGTGCGTGAGACTATACAGGAAATGAAGACAGAGAAGAAACCGAATCATACCCTTGTTAGGACTATAATTCTATGGGGCTGTAGGGTTATAGGGCTATAGGGCTATAGGGCTATGGGGCCATAGGGTTATATGGCTATAGGGCTATAGGGCTATAGGGCTGTAGGGCTGTATGGCTATAGGGCTGTAGGGCTGTAGGGCTATAGGGCTATAGGGCTACTGGGCACCTGGGCACACGGGCACTCGGGCACCCGGGCGTACTGCCGAAATCGGCGACATACCTCACCTAACCATACGAATCCGCTAGGGCCCCTACAGAGGCAAGCTCTGATTGGGAACTCATACTGGAGACCAGGCGGGAGACCATTCGGAGAGCATCTGGGAGGGCATACGGGGGAGATCACACGGCAGACCATGCTGGAGACTGTACTGGAGGCCATATTGTGGACCATGCGGGAGGCCATGCTGGAGTCCATATCGGAGACCACATGGAAGACCATACGGGAGACCATGCCGGAGACGATACGGTGTACCGTTCGGGAAGCCACATGGGAGACTGTAGGGGAGACAACGCGGGAGACCATGGGCCCATGAATTTGGGAATCTGCGAGGCTCACACCAGGGCGTAGGACAAAATATGCAGGACTTGTACAAGCAAGCTGTTCAGGGGGCCAAGGGCCCGACACACACCGGCCGCGGCAAGCGCGGCGGTGGATTCTTCACACCTCGGACGACGCGAGCTTCAGCGTCGCCGACGTGGTCTCCATTCAGTTCGCCGACACGAGCCAGCAGACCGCCGTGGTCATGGGGAAGGACCGGGAGCTCCCGCGTTCACCCTCCCCTGCCCTTCCCAGCTGCTCGGTGGGCCCACGAACTTCTAGGAGCGGTGCGCCTCCCCTTGCGCGGCCGCGTGCTCGCCTCGCCGCGTGTGGGCGAGTCTGCCGGCGGGCGGTGTGCCCATCGCAGGGCCCCTGCAGAGCCCCGTAATTCAACAGATCCAGCAGATCCTCCGATGATTTGGTAGATTCGCTTCTTCCGCCCTCCCATCACTGTCTCATGTGAAGTGCCGTGGCTGAGGGAGTGAACCAATACGGGCCAGACATTCGGATGCGCAGCGACGAACGATCAGTCGATGGAGCCTCCTCATGTTGTCAATGTGAGGTCTGGTTGAAGGCCGAGTCTAAGTTCTCCACCTGATCTGGACACTACTAGAAGGCCAGGGATGTCATGCATGTGCAACATAGGAGGCGGAGCATGAAGGAGGAGCGGGAGGGTTTCTGGCTGCATCAGGCGATTCTCGCGGCTTGTGGGTCGTTTTCAGGGTTCAACGGGCGAGAGAGAAAGAGAAGGAGGAGGAGGAGGAGGAGGAGGAGGAGGAGGCGGAGGAGGAGGAGGAGGAGGAGGAGGAGGAGGGGGAGGAAGCGGAAGAGGAAGAGGGAGGCGGAGGAGGAGGAGGGGAGGAGGAGGAGGGTGGAGGAGGAGGAGGAGGTAGGAGGAAGGGGGAGGGGGCGGAGGGGGAGGAGAGGAGGAGGAGGAGGAGGAGGAGGAGGAGGAGGAGGCGGAGGAGGAGGAGGAGGAGGAGAAGGGGAAGAGGAGGAGGCGGAGGAGGAGGAGGAGGAGGAGGAGGAGGCGGGAGGGGAGGATAGGAGGAGGAGGAGGAGGAGGGGGAGGGGGAAGAGGAAGAGGAAGAGGCAAGAGGAAGAGGAGGAGGGAGGAGGAGGAGGTGGAGGAGGAGGCGGGGGAGGGAGGAGGCGGATTTTTCTAGTGCTCCGTGCCAACAACCTCCAGGATTGAAAAAGGAGGAGGAGGAGGCGGAGGAGGCGGAGAGGAGGAGGAGGAGGAGGAGGAGGGAGGGAGGGAGGGAGGGAGGGTGCGTTTGGGAGCGATGGAGCGAGGGAGCGAGGGAGCGAGGGAGCGAGGGAGCGGGGAGGGAGGTGAGGGCGCAGGGAGGAAGGGAGAAAAAGGAGGGAGGGGGGAGGGAGGAGGGAGGAGGGAGGCGGAGGAGGAGGAGGAGAAGGATGAGGAGGAGGAGGAGGAGGAGGGAGGAAGAGGTAGGAGGAGGAGGCGGAGGAGCGGGGGAGAGTGAGGAGGAGGAGGCGGAGGCGTCGGAGGAGGCGGAGGAGGCGGAGGAGGCGGTGAGGATGATGATGGTTGAAGATGATGTTAGCGATGTGATGATGATTGATGGATGATGATGAGGAGGAGGAGGGAATAAAATCATAATAATACCAAATATAATAATAGAATAATAACAATACTAAGACTAATACGACTAATAATAATAATAATTCGAAGTCGACATCGACGTCGAACAATAATATCAATACGACAAATAATAATAATACTAATAATAATAATCATACTCATCATCATCATCATCATAATAATAATACTAATACTAATAATACTAATACTAATAATAATACGAATACTGCGAATCATAAGAATACGAATAAGACGACTAATACGATTCTTGGGCTTACGCCACACCGCCGACCCCTTGGGGAATTAGCGGCGCGGCTCCGTCGCCGTGGCGCCAATGACGGGATGGACAGGAGGAGGTCTTGCCGCCGCCGGAGGATGGGAAAGAGAGCGAAAAGAACGGAGTAGAGGACGGGGGAGAGGAGCAGGAGGAATGCGGGAGGGGAGGGGGGGGGGGGATGGGGGGGGAGGAGAGGGGGGAAGACGACGACGGTAACAACGACACGTGCCAACCATCAAGGCAATTCGGGATTTTCGCTGCGGGAGACTCTTGGAGGCATCTTGCCGCGATTGTGTCGTCGATTGCAGGCGTTTTGCATGGCTTCCGGGATTTCTTGGGATGCCACGGGGGCCAGTTTTGATATCTCCGAGGGGGGTGGGGGGGCGGGATGTGGGGCCTCTCGGGACCTCTTGTGGGCGTCTGGCAAGCATCTTGGGGCCTCGTGTGGGCCTCGTGGGGGTCTCTTGGAGCCTTTTGGGGATTTCCTTAGGCCTCGGGGGCCGTCTCGGCCTCTGGGGGGCCTCTCGGGCCCTCTTGGGGGCTTCTTGGAGGCCTCTTGGGGACCTCTTGGGGCCTCCGAGGCTGTCTTGGCGCGCTCTTGGGCCGTCATGGGCGCCTCTTGGGCCGTCTTGGATTCCTCTTGAGGCCGTCCTGGAGCCCTCCTGGGCCGTCTTGGAGTCTTCAGTGGCCGTCTTGGGGCCCTCTTGGGCTGTCTTGGGGCCCTCTTCGGCCGTCTCGGGGCCCTCGTCGTGCGATTTTGAAGGCCTCGAGAGCCGTTGTGGACGGAGTGAAAGCTCAAGAGGGGGATGTGCTAGAAATGTACGTTTTCCCAAAAGAATTCGACGAATTTTGCTTCCTGGGGGGCCTCTTGGGTCGCTTCTTGGGGACCTCTTGGGGCCTCCTTGGCTGTCTTGGCGCACTCTTGGGCCATCATGGGCGCCTCTTGGGCCGTCTTGGCTTCCTCTTGAGGCCGTCCTGGAGCGTTCACGGACGCGAAACATTTGAAGCCGAAGCAAGTGGAGCATCATCGAGGAGCGTCAGGCACCAAAGTGGTGTGCAAAGGCTGCACGGAACTCGGGTTCACATCGCGCAGCTGCCAGGCTTACCAGTGCAGCGGCGCGTGCAAGAGAAGATTACCGAAGTCGGCGTTCCCCGACCCTCCCAATGTCGCGCGCGACGCAAAGAAGGGCACCTTGAAGTGCAAAACGTGCAGATGATGTCCAATCGGACGCGCGTACTGGGGAGAAAAAAGGAAGACGGGAGAAGAGGATGGGTGAGGCGGAGGATGGCGGGGAGCAGCATCGAAGAGGATGAGGTGAGGCGGGGCAGGGAAAGGAGGAGGGAGACGAGGAGGAGGTGGAAGAGAAGGAGGAGGACGAGGGGGACTCTGAGATGAGCCGTTGGGTGGTGGTTTATGGGTTAGAGATTTCTTGTATGTGTATCGGGATCTCGCGGGACGCCCCTCGGGGACATCTGGAATGCAGTTTTGAAGCCACGAGGGGCAGTTTCGGAGCCTCTTGCGGTCTCTTGGAGCACTTTAGGGCCCCCATGGAGCTTCTGGGGGCGGAAAACGCAATTTTGAAAGGGGGGGGGGCCGCGCGTGGGAGGGAAGACACCCTGAAGTGCGGCTTGTGTGGTGATCGCTGGGATCTCTTGCGGTGCTTCTCGCGGTGCTCTTGGAGGCAGTTTGGAAGTCTTTGGGGGGCCGGTTTGGGGCCGTTTGGGAGCCTTTTTTCTTTTTTTGTTTTTTTTTTTTTTTATTTGTTTTGCTTTGTTTTTTATTTTTTTGTATGTTTTTGGGGCTGTTTTTGTTTTTTTTTTGTTTTTCTTTTTTTTATTTATTTTCTTTTTTTATTTTTTGGGGGCGTCTCGGGGCTTGTTGGGAGCGTCTTGGGGGCCTCTTGGGGCCACTTGGGACCTTCTGGGGCCGTCTTGGGGCGGAAGGCTCGGGATGTCGGTTCCGGTTCCCCCTCTTAGGCCCCTCTTGGGGCCGTCTTGGGGCCGTCTTGGGCCGTCTTGGGGGCCTCTTGGGCAATCTTGGCGCCATCTTGGGCCAACTTGGGCGTCTCTTGGGAGCTTCTTGGGCCGTCTTGGGGCGGTCTCGGGGTGCTCTTGGACCGTCTTCAACGCCGTGAAGGCGGACAAGTCGTACATGATCAAAATGTCCGTTTCCCCGGAGGAATTTGACGATTTTCGGCTTTTCGGCCCTTCTGAGGACTGCGCTTGGAGGCATCTTGGGCCGTATCGGAGGCCTCTTGGCTCGTCTTGGAGCCATCTTGGCCGTCTGGGAGCGCTCGTTTGGCGTCTCGGGGCCCTTGTGGGCCGTCTTGGAGACGTCTTGGGGGCTTCGCGGCCCGTCTTGAGCCCCTTTTGGACCCAAAAGAGCTCCGTGAACCGCTCGTGGGGGGCCCGGGGGGGGGGTCCGCCAGGGGGGGGTCGATTCGCCGGTTTGGGGTCCTTGGGGGGGGACTATAGGGGGGGGGAACTATCTCACACGCCTAGAGACCCACAAGGGGTCGGCGGACTACTACTAATAATAATAATAATAATAATAATAATAATAATAATAATAAGGAATTATACTAAGAATAAGAATTAGGAATGGGAAACTTTATTACGTAATTACTATTAAGAAGAAGACTAACCATAATTATAAATACGAATAAGGCGGACGATATAATGATAATATCTAATACGAGGAAAAATACTAGTAAAGAATAAGCATCGTATTAATAATAAGAAGACGAATAAGAATCCTGATAAGAATACGAATGACTACTACTAAAAGAGTACTACTACTACTTACTAATAATAAGAATAATTAAGGAGAGGAGGAGGATGGAGGAGGAGGAGGTGGGAGGAGGAGGAGGAGGAGGAGAGGAGGAGGAGGAGGGGAGGAGGAGGAGGAGGAGGAGAGGAGGGAGTAGGAGGAGGAGGAGGGGAGGAGGAGGAGGAGGAGGAGGAGGAGGCGGTAGGAGGGGAGGGGAGGAGGATGGAGGAGGAAGGAGGCGGAGGAGGAGGAGGAGGAGGAGGAGGAGGAGGAGGAGGAGGAGGAGGAGGAGGAGGAGGCAGGAGGAGGAGGAGGCGGAGAGGAGGAGGAGGAGGAGGAGGAGGAGGAGGAGGCGGGAGGAGGAGGATGAGAGCGGGGGAGGAGGGCGAGGGGAGTTGGAGGAGTAGGTCGAGGAGGAGGAGGAGGAGGACCAGTGTAAACCCAAGAGTCATCAATGATGTTGGAGTAAGGCCCCCCTTAAGCTTCCCCTTCATAGGCTCCTACACCGTTTCATCTCCACTGGGGAAACTGCCCCGTCGAAAGGCAACCGTTTGAATATTCGAAAGCCCGGACCGTGCCAGAGCGTCATTCCTGGGACTTCAGCACCGCGAATCAACGTAACTTTAGCGCCCGCATAACCCTGAACCTTTCCCAAATCCGATTTCTGGGACGCTGAGCATGGGAATCCGTGAAACTCTTGTACATGTTATAAACGAATGTGCGTGTCGCTAAGGCGAGCGTCGCATTTTGAAAACGCGTCGCCCTCACTCCGTGAAGCTCTCCTAATGGTGTACAACGAATGTACGCGGCGCTAAGGCGAGAGCCGCATGTTGAAGACCACTCGCCCTCAATCCGTGAACCTCTTGCAATGTTTGAAAACGAATGTGCGCCGCGCAAGGGCGAGAGCCACATTTTGAAAGCCATCATCCCTCACTTTGTGAAACTATTGCACTTTTGTAAACGAATGTGCGCGTCGCTACAGCGAGAGCCACAATGTGAAAACGCGTCGCCCTCAATCCGTGAAGCTCTTGCAATGTTTTAAAACGACTGTACGCGGCGCTGAGGCGAGAACCACATTTTGAAAACCACCCGACCTCCGTCTGTGAAGCTTTTGCTGTTGTTTCAGCTTCAGGGTCGAAGTCTCAGGCGAACCGCCTGGACCGCCCTAAAAGCTGTTCTCGGGGTGACACAGGGGAACTTCATTTCCCAGGAAAAGGAATGGAGGAGGAGGAAGAGCGAGAGGAGGAGGAGGAGGAGGAGGAGGAGGAGGAGGAGGAGGAGGAGGAGGAGGAGGAGGAGGGAGAGGAGGAGGAGGGAAGAGGAGGAGGCGGAGGGGTGGAGGCCGAGGGGGGAGGAGGCGGAGGAGGAGGTGTGGAGGAGGACGGGGAGGGGGATAAGGGGGGGAGACGAGAAGGGAGGGAGGAGAGTAGAAGGAGGAGGGAGGAGGACCATGAAGAGGAAGAGAGGAGGAGGAAAGGGAGGTGGACGAGGAGGAGGAAGCAAGAAACGATATCAGTATCATTTGCTTGTTTCTCTTAATATTTTATTTTGTATTTTCCGTTTTTCATTGGGAATTCGTAATAAGCAGAATAGTACGACGCAGACGAACATGACGAATCATACGACTACGAAGAATGAGCTGACTAAGCAGGACGATCACATACGAATCATATGAATTCAAGTCTGATGCGAGTAAGAAATAGACGAATCTGGTTCACATTATCATTATCGATAATTTCAAAGACATTCGCAGTTATCATACGACGATTACTACCCATCCTACTAAGAGTAGGAGTGCTGATGCTAAGCATGGGTATAGATATACACGACAAATAACAATAGTATTGTACATGCTGTTAGTACTAGCGTTATTCATGGTATTAAGACTAATACTGCGACTAATTATTATTTTTTTACAGCGAAAAAGCGAAGAAGACTACTAATACTACCAAGAACAATACTACCAAACATCATTACTACGGGTCATAACAATAGTTCGGATTCGGCGAATACTAATTATTATAATCGTAGTAGTAATGAACATCAGACTGCTACACAACTTAATACTGATACTATTGTTACCACTGATAAAACGAGGAATGATAACACTAGTACTATCCATAAAACATACGTACTATTCATACTACGGGCCATAATGCTAATCTCAGTACTGCGAATCGTACTACACATGATAATGCGAATGCGACATATAGGAGGAGGAGGAGGAGGAGGAGGAGGAGGAGGAGGAGGAGGAGGCGGAGGAGGAGGAGGAGGAGGAGGAGGAGGAGGAGGCGGAGGGGGAGGAGGATTAGGGGGAGGAGGAAGGCGAGGAGAGGAGGAGGGAGGAGGAGGAGGGGAGGAGGAGTGAGGAAGGGGAGGAGGCGGAGGGGGAGAAGAGAGGAGGAGGTCTTAATGAGCAGGAGGAGGAGGTGGGAGGAGGATGAGGGAGGAGGAGGAGGAGGAGGAGGAGGAGGAGGAGGAGGAGGAGGAGGAGGAGGAGGAGGAGGAGGAAGGGGTGGGAAGTCTGCCGGGCGTTTAGAGGTTTCAAAGGATGACAGGGAGGAGGAAGGCAGGGGCGTAGGAGAAGGAGGAGGAGGTGGAGGAGGAGGAGGAGGAGCAGGAGCAGGAGGAGGAGGAGGAGGTGGAGTAAGAGAAGGGGGAGGAGGAGGTAGAAGAGGTGGAGGGAAGTGGGCCGCCAGCGCCGTGCCAAAGGACCCCGGGCTGGCCATCGATCCCGGGCTCGCTCAGGACCTGCTGGGGGGCGAGCTGATCTGGATAGTGCGGTCCGACCTTGGCAGCAACGGGTCCCACGGCCGCGGGGGCGACTCGGCGACGGCTTCTGGCAGGGGCATTGGCTGATCGGGGCTCCCTGAGATCCGTCGCAGTGGCGAAAAAAGGTCGCGACACGAGCGCGTATTTAGCGATTCGCGATTGCTCCCGTTGCTGGTGACGCCCCCCCTCCTCCTCTTCCCCTGGTAACGTCACGATTCGCGCAGGCGCCGTCTGGGACTGGCTAGGTGTAGCTAATTCCCAGACGGCGCCGTCACGATTGGTCCCGGCGGACCTCAGGAACATCCCGAAAACCTTGGGCCTCTCAAGGCCCATCAGGGAGCCATCCAGCACAGCGTTTCGTGGGCCCATAGGGAACTCCACCGACGGCCCCACCGGCACCGCCAGCATGCGTAAGCCACCATCCAGTACAGCGTTTTGTGGCCCCATAGGGATCTCCACCGAAGGTCCCAGTGGGACCGCCCGCATGCGTCAGCCACCGCCCAGTACAGCGTTTGGTGGCCCCATAGGGGGCTCCACCGAAGGTCCCAGTGGCACCGCCCGCATGCGTCAGCCACCACCCAGTACAGCGTTTCGTGGGCCCATAGTGAGCTCCACCGAAGACTTCAGTAGGACCGCCCGCATGCGTCAGCCACCGCCCAACACAGCGCTTCGTGGCCCCATAGGGCGCTCCACCGAAGGCCCCAGTGGCACCGTCCGCATGCGTCAGCCACCACCCAGTACAGCGCTTCGTGGCCCCATAGGGAGCTCCACCGAAGGTCCCGGTGGCACCGCCCGCATGCGTCAGCCACCACCCAGTACAGCGTTGCGTGGCCCCGTAGGGAGCTCCACAAAAATACCCCAGTGGCACCGACCGCATGCGTCGTCCACCACCCACTACTGCATTTTGCTGCCCCATTGATTAGGAGCTCCACCAAGCCCCAGTGGCACCGCCCGCATGCGTCCCCCCAATCTGGTACAGCTGTTCGTGGCCCCGCAGGGAACTCCACCGAAGGACCCAATGGCACCGCCCGCATTAGGGAGCCCCACCGAAGGCACCAGTGGCACCGCCCGCATGCGTCAGCCACCACCCATTACGGCATGTCCCTCACGCTTTTCGTGGCCCCATAGGGAGCATGGTTGGGGTCCTTCGCCAGGATAATTTCAACCCGCGGCCCCAGAGCTCCCGACCCCGCTTCTCCTATACCAGCCCCCTCTGCTACACAGGCCCCCGCTCGGTTAGACAAGGCCCCTCTCCTTGCTAATTCATAAAATTGCTTTCATGCTACACGTGCTGCTCCTCCTACGCCAGTCCCATGGCTTCACGGCACCCTCTATTAGACAAGTCCCTTCCCAAAGCTTTAAAACCAAACTCCTTGGCGCTAAACGTGTACCTCCACCTGCGCATCACCCATTGCCAGACAAGGTCTCTCCCCAAGCTGATTAAAACATCTCCGTTGATACCAGACGTTCGCTCCTCCTACACCATTGTCCTGTGCTACACGGGCCCCCTCTGTTAGACAATGCCCCTCGCCAAACTGATGTTTGAAAAGCTACTTGGCGCTTGACGCGTCCCTCTCCCTTTAAAGGCCTCTTTGCTGCGCGGCACCCTTTGTTTGATAAGGCCCTTCCCCAAGCCGATGAAACAAACTCTGCGGCGCAAGACGTGCCCCTCCTTCTGCACACCACCCTCTATTACACACGGCCCCTCCCCAAGCGGATCTAACAAGCTCTTTTGACGGTAGACGTGCCGCTCCTCTTGCACCAGTCCCCTGTGTCTTTTTACTTTTTTATTTTGCCGCTCCTCTTGCACCAGTCCCCTGTGCTAAACAGGCCACCTCTGTTAGAAAAGGCCCCTCCACAAGCTTTTGAAACAAACTTCTTGGTGCCAGACGCGTCCCTTCCCCGCTCACGGGCCCGCTCTGTTGCGCAGCACCCTCCATTAGACAGGGCTCCTCCCCAAGCTTATTTCAACGAGCTAGTAGATGCTAGACGTGCCCCTCCTCCTGCAGAGCACCCTCTATTCGATAAGGCCCCTCCCCAAGCTTCTTTCGCGAGCTCCCTGCTGATGGACGTGCCCCTCCTCCTGCATGTGCCCCCTTTTCTGCCCCTCCTGCACCGCCCCACCTTTTGCACAGGGCCTCTCCCCAAGCGGATCCAGCAACAGCTACTTGGTGTTGGACGTGCCCCTCCTGCGCGGGCCCCCTCTGCTGCGCAGGCCCCTCTGTCAGACAAGGCCCCTCCCCTAGCTGGTCAAACGAACTCCACTGATACCAGGCGTGCCGGGCCTTCTGCACAGGCCTTCTCTGTTGCACAGCACCCTCTAGTAGGCAAGGCTCTTGAGGAGGAGGAGGAGGAGGAGGAGGAGGAGGAGTACATCCCAGACGAGACAAAAACCGATTTCCAATGGGAAACCCATTGTGAGACGTGAACCTTGGTTACCCGACCATGTTACAGAGTGTGTGCAATATACATGCATGAGCGCGGCGATATGATTCAGTGTGCGCACACAACACTAAAATAAACAAATCAGGTTGCCGATAAATCGAATATCATGCCACTAAACAAACGCCTCATCAAAACAAAATCATCATTTGACACAACACAAATAAAATAACCTAGTTCTTGATGTGACTGACCGTGTAATCAATGTGATGGAGGAGGAGGGGCAGGAGGCTCTTTCCCCAGCGGATCACGCAAGCTCTTTTGATGGTAGACATGCCGCTCCTCCTGCACCGGCCCCCTCCGCTGCACGGGCCCCCTCTGTCCGACAAGCCCCTCCCGAAGCCAGTTTAGGCGACCTCCTTTTGTGCCAGACGTGCCCCGCCCTCTCAGCACACGGGCCCGCTCTGCCATTCTGTTGTGCGCCCCGGATCCATTCCCTGGTGGTTCCGGGGCCCGTCGAAGGGCCGCGGAGGCCGACGGCGAGGAGCAGCGCCTCAGGATCGAGCAGGAGCACGTCGTCGGAGATCTGGGAGCATCCAGCCGAGCGTCGTCGCCCCCAGCGCCAAGTGCGGCGGCCCCCGGGCGTCCGCGCCGCCGCGGGCGCGGCCGGGCCTCGCTCGCAGAGCGCGGCGCGGCGCGCGCGTGCCCGCCCGCGCGCCGGGGATGGTGCGCCACTGGGGCCGCGGCCGGCTGTGGCCGCCGCCCGCCGCCAAGGGGAAGCCAGGCGCCAAGGACAGCTCGGGCTTTCGAGTGCCTGCGAGCAGCATGCTTCGAAGGAGACAGAACGCCATAAACATACACTTTTGGCGCTCCGCGCGGGCTTCTTGGATCCGCGCTGGGCCCCCCCTGGGCGGCGCCTCCGGTGCCGCCCCTGGCAGATCCAAGAAATCCGCGCGGAGCGCCAGAAGTTTATGTTGAGAGCGATATTTCTTTTCCTAATGCTACGTATACAAAATGCAATCGGAGACGTCCACGGCGAACATTTGCCGCACCTGCCTTGTAGGATATTCGTATGTGGCCAAACTTTTGGGTAGCGTTTGGCCACGCTATTGGACTATGTGTTCACCCAGCCGTTGTGTAAGCCCTCTGGGGGAACACGTAGGGGAGGAAGAAGAGGATGATGAGGGGGACGAAACAGGAGGATGAGGAGACGGATGAGGAGATCTCTTGGTTGCTTTTTAGGTCACTATTGTAGTTAGCCTCCTGGGTGCTTCCTGGAGGCCTCTTGGAGGCCTGTCGGGTGCCTCCTTGGGCCTCTTGGGGACATTTGGGGGCTTCTCGGGGGCCTCGTTGGCCGTCTTCTGCGTTCCTGGCCTGGTGGGCCTTCTTCGGGCCTTCATCGGGCCTTCCTGTGGATCCTCTTGGAGGCTCCTTGGGCCGTCTTGGAGGCCTCTCGGGGCCTTCTTGGGCCGTCTTGAGACATCTTGAAGCCATCTGTAGCCGTCTTGGGTGCATGTTGGGCCGTCTTGAAGACATCTTGGCGCCATCTTGGCCATCTTGGCCGTCTTGGAGGCGTCTTGGGACCATCTTTGAGGCCATCTTGCGCCATCTTGGCCGTCTCGGAGCCGCTGGGTCAGCGGAGACCGAGCATAAGGAACTTTCTGGGTGGACGGTAGGTTCGGCCGAAGCCCCAGGGGAGTTCTTTAGAAAAGAACCAACAACCTCCCAGACATCTAGGGCGCCGTGCACCCCTGTGGCAGGACCACAAGAGACGGCGGATCGAAGACGCCCACGGCAAAGCACCGCCGCCCCCTGCCTTGGATGATACAGTCGGGGCCCTGAAGAAGGAACCCTTCTCGTTTGGGAGGGGCTCCGTGTTCCTTAATTGTTTCGCAGCTTGCCTCAGATTTTCCTTATGGCTTCGGTACGAAATCGAAGTTTAACTTATGGAACATAGGGGCCTCGTTCCTTATTTAGGGTTCCTTAGGTCAACACCTCGACTGTACGCCTATGTGGCCAAACGTTCGGCCAAAGCGTGGCCATGCCATTGGACCATGCGTTTTGCCAGCCGTTGTGTAAGCCCTTCGGGGAACGCGTGGGGGAGGAGGAGGATGAGGATAGGGAGGAAACATGATTATGAGGAGACGGATGAGGAGACCTCTTGGCAGCTTCCCATGTCATTCTTGAGGCCGTTTGGGACCTTCCTGGGGGCCTCTTGGAGGCCTCTGGGGGGCCTCCTTGGACTTCTTTTAAGCATTTGTGGGCTTCCTGGGGGGCTCGTTGGCCGTCTTACGACGTTCCGACGTTCCTGGCCCGTCTGACGCCGTCGGAAGCCGTCTTGGAAGCCTCTCTGGGCCGTCTTGGGGCCCTCTTGGGGAGCTTCAGGGTCGTCTTCAATGCCATTTTGGAGGCCTCTTGGGGCCGTCTTGGGGCCCTTTGGGGACCGTCTTGGGGGCCTGTTGGACCGTTTGGGGCCGTCTTGGAGGCATCTTGGGCCATCTTGGGGGCCTCTTGGTCCGTTGTGGGCCGTCGGAAGGCCACTTTGAAGCAAATGCCCAAATCCTTCAAATACCTAAGGTACATCAATGATGTTTGCCTCTTTGAGCCTTCCGGGGGGGACGTCTTGGGGCCTCTTAGGCCGTCTCTGGTATCTCCTGGGCGCTTCTTGGGCCGTCTCGGGCTCTCTTGGACCATCTGGGCGATCGTGGAGGCATCTTGGGACCATGGTGGAGACAATCTT